TTATTTTTTTCGAATTTCTTTGCTGCTAATCAACACTCAGAGAATCAAGAACTTCGAGTTCCGCGTCCTCTTAACATCACCGGAAATGCTCTTTAATAAGACATCCTTCTCAAAGATTGCTCATACGCCCTCCTTCATGTCCCATGTCGATCTTATCGTTGCAGATGAAGCCCACTGCATCACTCAATGGTCCGGCAAGGCCTTTCGACCTCTGTTTGCTGAGCTCGGATCCCTGCGCTCTCTGGTCGAACTCAAAGTCCCCGTCCTTGCCGCATCAGCTACAATGACATCTACTGTTATTGAAGCAGTAAAGAAGTCACTTTCTTTTCGTCTTGGGCAAACCTTCGAGCTCAATCTTGGCAACAACCGCAAGAATATTACTCATATTGTTGTCAAAATCAAGTCTGCCACTGATTTTGATGCTCTTCGCATCCTCCTGGAGGGGGCTACCGAAGGGCAACCTCTACTGCGTACCCTTGTCTATGTTCTGAAGAAGGAAGATGCACAGAACATTGCTCTGTACCTGAGGAATCTGCTTCCTCCAAACTCGACTCTTCGCTCCCAGATCAATTTTGCCAACTCTGCACGGGATGCGGCAGCAAGAATGAAGGCTATACAAGATTTTTGGAATGGAGTTGTCAATATATTGGTTGCAACAGAAGTTGCTGGAATGGTATGCACGCCTTTTCGTGTTTTTCTTATGCTGACAGTTGCTTAGGGCCTGGATATTCGAGATATCGTTAGAATATACCACTTCAACATTCCTAATAGCGTAGACGAGGGTATTCAGCACCACGGGCGTGCTGGACGCGACGGAAGGCCTGCATGCAGTGTTATGCTCGTTCCTAAGAGCTTCTTCGATCCTCCTAAGCGAAAGAAAAAGCCCAGCAATGGCGGTGAGCAAAATACAGATCTCTAAAAGCCTTATTTATTACAGAGAGCTTATGAAATAGTTGCACAACCTTCAGATTCGTCAGAGATCGCTGATAAACCCCAAGAGTCACAGGACATTGTCTCCAGGTCTCTAGGACCATTGAACGGCATTGCGGAACCTACTGTATCACTGAACGGCATCACCAGACTTACAGGATCGCAGGAGGGTGTCACCGAACATTTCCAGCCACACAATACTGCTTTGCTCGAGCTTCAGGAAGAAGAGCCTGAGAATGACCCTGAAGACGATCCTGATGTGCAGCCAGGTGGCGAGAACGAAGAAGACAACGACTTCGAATTGGAGGACCTGTTTGAGGGCTACTGTGGACCCGAGGTGCCTCCAACTCAGCCTGAACCAAGAGCAGGCGACCCAGCTGCTATACCTACTACTAGAGGTAAAAAGAAGTCGAGAGAAATTGAGAAGACTATGCGCGAGTACGCACTAACAAAGAGATGCCGCCGCAAGATAGTTGACGACTACTATAAGAATCCCCCTCGTCGCGAAGGTATGTGGCTTAGCTTTGATGAAAGGCTCTCTTTGTGGCGTGAAGGATCTTTTTGTGGTGCAGACACCAGGCACACTGCATCTGTTGCTGATACCCTTGCAGATCTTACAGTGCCTTGCTGTGACAACTGCCTACGGTCACAAGACTCCTCGACTCGCTCTGACTTTGGAAAGGAGCTTGTTGCGCTTATAGAACACTTTGAAGACCGACTCAAGCCAGATCCCTTGGCAGGCAAGAAGCGGCCTCGTCTTCCTTCTGGCTTGGGTCCTCGCAAAGGAGAGCGACTCCAGAAATGCGAACATGCTCTCAAGAAGTGGCGGATGGAGACGTGGAAAAAAAGCCATAAATTTGCCTCCTGGGGCTATCGGGTCCTACTGCCTGACGATATTCTACAGAAACTCGCAACCCGCGCTGATCTGCGCACTGTTCAGGCTCTCATAGATGACCTCAAATGGGATTTCGCTCCAAGATATGGCAATGAAATCCTCGAGCTGCTAAAGCCTATTGACGACGCATGGAACGAGGAGCGGCAGGAAGAGAGAGAGCGCAAGGCGACCGTAAGGAAAGCTCAAAGTCAAGTGAACGCCAAGCAGCGTGGAGAAGAACGGAGACAACAGCAGCATCAAGAAACAGTGCATAAGCGTACACGGACGCACGAAGCATCCTCACAAGCCTTCAACTTGAGGTGGGCGACACCCATCATTGTTCCTGGACCGCCAGAGCCTGTCGCCCCACAACATGCCCCTGCTATTTGCACGAGTCTGTCTACTGCCTTCTCTTCTGCCTACAGTTCTACCGGTCCTTCAACTCCTGCCATATCTGACTCTAGCTTGCTTGCCTCTGGATCCACTCCTGTGTCTCTGGTTACACCAATCTCGTCTGTTGCTTCATTGCCACCTCAGCAAAGCGCATCTAGATTTGCTGTCGCATCTGGATCTGCAGCCTCGTCTGTGTCTCGCAATAATTCCCCAGTCTTGTCACAACCGAATGACTACTATTATCGCTGGGAGCAGTATCAGCAACATCTACAGGCTGCTGCCTATGCCCAGCACCAAGCCTACCTTGCCGCCTATGCCCGACAGCAAGCTTTCGCCACCAGCAAGCTCTATCCGGCTCAGCCGTGGCCACAACTGCCCCCGCCCCCGCCGCAATAACAGTGTCTTGAACATATTTTATTCGTTACACATGTACAATTGAATCACTAATCATCATGGTGCATATTCGAGCTGGTGGGACATTCATCCCCACCTAAATTATCCCCTGAGTAAACAGGTATGTTAGAGACACGTACATTCAGTGAAAAAATGCACATACCCAGCGTAGAAGTAGCTGGATGGTTTGTGTGTGTATTGCATGCTATGCTTGCCGCAGCAAGTGCGACGTAGTCGGTCCAGTCCTGCTCGGTCGATCTTGCCGTAACCCGTCGCGCGGTCCATCTATTGATTGTCTTACGCAGTAGCGTCGGATTGGACCCTTGTTGCAGGTAGTCAGTCAGACACTCTATGTCCAGGCGTGGGCGCGTTGGGTCAAAGACATGAATCTTCGATGCGGCATAGGCCTGCTGCAGTTTGGCGACATCGATCTCCTTGGCAGGCTTCGTATGCGTCTTACCACGGCGGAAATGGTTGATATCAGCCTCGACATGGTCCTTGACCTTGCGCATAGTGGGTATGGCAGCTGAGATCTTCTTTATATACTCCCAGGTAGCGTACGGACCAAAGACGGCGAATATATGCTATATTTACTGGGTGAGATGACACGTCAAAGGCTAATAAACATCTACGAACCTTGATATCCCGGATATTATGCTCTTGAATTAAGTCGAAGGGCGAAAAGCAGCCCGGCCGACCAGTGGTATTTCCAAGCCAGCAATACTTGAGAACCCAAACTCTGGAGACCTGAGTCAACGACTTGAAGGATTCATCATCAAAAATTCAAATCACTCACTTGAGATCCTCTGGCCATTCGCATTCAAGAGCTTGAATAAGCTCTAACATCTCTATGACATAATTAGTGTGTCCGCCACCTAGGAAACGGAAAAGGAGGCGCGGCAGAAGGTCGCGCACACGGCCAACATCTCCTGTCTTGATTGCGTCGTCAAGCTCAAGGTAGTCGAGGATGTCACGGTTGAACATCACGGCCTGTTGGAAGTAGTCATCAGCTGCCTCGTTGGTCTTCTCGCACAGCTTATCGAGAGCATGAGTTGATGCAAGTTTTTCCCAAAGCTTAGACGCGAGCTTAGAAAGTTCTTGAGGGGTACGAGAACGAAGCTCATCCAGAGAGTCGACGTTCGCAATGGTGCACCAAGCATCCCGAAAGTGCGCTTCGGCGACGTGGTGAAGGAGCTCGTCGAGATTGTGGTGGAAGGTCCCTTGTACCGAGGGAGTCGCAAGGTTTTTGCGCTCGAGAAGGTCGATCGCATGCTTGAGACCCATCGTTCCGGGCTTTCCGTAGTACTGATGGTGGAATGAAAAGCCCAGATTGATCTGGGCGTGGAACCAGCCAGCCAATTCGATTAAAAACTCGAACCGCTGGGCGGAATTCAGGTCCTGTGACCTGAAATTCTTGAGGCCACGGAAGCGCGAGCTTGTCAGTTGATCGCCCATCCAAACAATCAGCTGCTCTTGAGATATGTGCTTCATGTTCTCGACAGTGTCCAGGCCGAGCTGCCGCAACCATTCATGCATACAGCGCTCGTTGCCTTCGTACGATGCCTCCTCTTGGTGGATCGTGCCTAGCATGTATTGACACAGGGCGTGTTCTGGACCGGTTGGTAGCTGGTGAACAGGTGGAGGAGGCTTGAAGAGCTCGCTCTCCTTGTGCTCATAGGTAGATAAGTCGAACGGTGCCGAATCGATTAGGAAGCGAATGATCTGATAAACGGCACGGGTGTGAATACGGGGGCTGGCCTGAGACTCAAGCTCAAAAATATCGAGGGGGGTAATTGAGTTTTGAGAACCAGCAGCCCTTTTTTCATGGTACGCTGCAGCGTTCGGCGGTACAGCATCAGGGTCTTTGACCGGATAGACAGTCGCAGCCGTGCCGCTGTCGAAGTGAGACTTGTTGTCAGTGCGTTGCTCGTACGCTTGAAATCTAATGTTTATGTTGTCGTGCGAACCACGGATTGGGTAATCCTTCACGTCAGCTTTCATCCGCTCCTGTGTCGTCTCCGCAATGGTATCAACGGCTGTATAGACGGTCTTCTGGCTCATACAAAAATAGAGCGCATGGAGAGTATCGAAGGCGCGTGCTTTGAGGCCGCAGGACTTAAGGTACGCACTCATGAGCTGTTGCATCTTGCAGCGACGGACTGAGCGACTGAAGCTCACGATCGACGTGACCATGAGAATAGCCTTATAGTAACAACACGCGTTAGCGAGCTAAAATCAGTATAATTTAGTACGTACTGTGTCTGGACTTGATTTCTTCGTGTTTCTGGCAGCTTGCTTGGGAGTAAAGGCCGCATTGCTACAGATTGACCACCAGGTGGGTGCCGCAGCACGAACACGTGAGATCATATCGTCGAGGGTGATCTGTAGCAGCGATTCTTCTCTGAAATCCGCTGGCTTGGCCTCCATTATCGGGTGAAGGGCGCGCATTTCGTAGTTGACCTGCCGAGTGACAATTTCTTGCGCGACTTCGGTCATCGCTTCGACAGCGCCTCTGGAGCGAACACCGCGGCCGTGCCCGCGTGGTGGGCGATACAAATTTCGCAGAACCCCTTTAAGTTCCTTGCTATGTGTTACAGAGGTGCGCTCGTACTTGCAGCGCGCATCAGTGATGATTTCGGGCGTGTTCCAGCAGAGGTGGTGAAGGAACAATGCTGTATTCATTGCCTGTGACTGCATGAAGTCCAAGATCTTGAGAATGCGGAGCCGAAAGTCTTCTCCAGTTGTCCCTCGTTGCTGATGAAATGCCTTGAGGGATTCGGTTGTCTGGCAAGCAACCGGATGTGCACGAGGGGCATAGTCTCGCTCGTCTTCGTCATCAAAGAATTCGTCGTCGTTGATCTCGAGATCGTCTTCGATAGGGTCGCCAACTTGCTCATCAAAAGGCATATTGAGTTAAGCAGTATATATTTATGAGAAAGTACACAGAGCCGGGACGAAACGACGCTAAATCACTAGGTTTGCCTATCGCGACTGGCCTACGCGCCCGTCACGTGCGCGCGATCCACACCCGCCCGACCGAGATTCACCAGACATTCTGGTCAGAACCCGTACTTCGATTTTTCGAAGTCCGATATGGGTTCCGCCCGGAGCCTTCCGGGCGTACCAGAATGGCTGGGGACGAGACTACGGACATTGCAAGCCCTTAATTAAAGAACGTTAGCATTGAGAGACGCCGACATTCTATTCCGAGGCATCTCAAGGTGCCCGCAATGTCCGCTATCAAGGGTGTTATTAGACAAAAAAAAATTCTCACATTCACACCGGCCGCAAATTTTTGTTTTTGATGTGCGTCTAAGGTTAAGCGTGCGTATTCGTGCACTTTCGTGCATATTCGTGCACTTTCGTGCGTATTCGTGCACGATGATGCACGTTTGGTCACTAACGTGCGCTAACATGCACGAAAGCTCACGTTTGTGCACCTTTGTGCACTTCACGAGAGAAATTTGAAACTTTTTTGTCACAGAAAATATGCCAAAACAGCTTGAAAAAATAAGTAAGGAAACGTCGTATTTTTTCCCTTGGTATCCGGCAGCCCGGCAACTCGGCAATCCGGCAGCCGAGCAGATTGTCCGCCAGGCCATTTATCAAAGCGCCCGGGGACGGCGGTACCCAGACGATAATCGGCTCAGCTGCCGAATTGCCGAGTTGCCAGACTGCAGGATGCCGAGCAAAAAATACAACATTTTCTTACTTATTTTTTCAAGCTGTTTTGGCATTTTTTTGTGATAAAAAGTTCCAAATTTCTATCGTGCTTTTGTGCACGAAAGTGTGCATTGACGAACTAC